CTGCTGACACAGCGGCGCTTAGCGGGCGACTTCCCCGGAGAGCTTGTGGCTTTCGGTGCGCGCACACGAATCTTGCCCTTCAGGTCCTGCGGGATAACCTTGCCGTTGTTGTACTCCTTGTGCCAGACGTCCCAACAGCTCAGCATCTTGCTTCCTACCGTCCACTTTTGCTTGACGCACAGGTAAATCGGCCCAGGGAAGTCGCATCCATCGCAGAAGTAGGTGGAGGTGGCGCCAGGCTTGCCACTTGGCGTCTTCAGCGTACAAACCTGGCAGTTCTTCTGCACCCTTTTTCGCTGCCCCGAGTGGTCGCGCCATTCGTCACTCTGTTTAGCAATATGACTGCCAGTGTCCGCTTGACGTTCCTCCGCCTCTACATCAACGGAAACATTTTCATCTGTATATACGTGTTAGTCGTAATGCACATACAGCATAGCCACCACAGCTTATACAGCATAATCAACTCACCTGATTGAAATGCGTTTTCTTCGTAAATATCCTCCGGCTTCAGCGCAATAAGCTGCAGATGCAACTTGCACATGAACTGCACGTGGGTCATCGCATTGATCTTCTTCTTCTTGCAGTAGGCTCGGTGCACGATGAACGCGTTGGTGATCGCCAGATCCACAAGCCCCAAAAGTTAGGACCGGTAGTACTTTCGATAGGTGATGCAGCGCTGCACAGAGTACGTTTGCAGGCGGAGTTGATCGTGCCCATCAACTCCGCCCATGAAGCGATGATAGTCTTTGATGACCTTGGGGCACGCAATCTCGTTCTGCTCACCAGTCTTCTCGCGGCACACAACACGATCCAAGGCGACCTTTCCACCCATCGACAGGAAATGAATAGGTTTGCTGTCCCACCAGCAAATTGCAGCCATATTCTTCACATGCTTTGAGCGCGCGAATGTCAACGTGCCGCGGGGGGGGGGGGGTCTTTGGGCCTCTTCTTCTTCTTTGTCACCACTGACTTGCAAAATCCACGGCGATTCGTCATGATGGTGCCAATCGTGAAGAACCCCATCAGCAGAAGCTGCACCACCAACACGATCGACGTGTAAAATCGATCAACCACCACGAGCCGCATGTACTTGCCAGGCGTGATGTCGCCGAACACAGCACGCAAGTTGCGCACAACTGCCGCCGGTCCTGACTTCATGTCCACTGCTCCCGACTGGTACCAAGCTATTCATGCTTTGCTGCGCTCGCTCCGCTTACTGCATTCGGTACGATTGCTGTTTCCGCTTATACTGTATTGTAATGGTTGCCTTATTCTGTATATGCGGATAACGTATGCTATATATACACGCTATGCTTTGCGTTTAGTTTTGAAGTGTACTGCGGCCAAAAGCAGCACATCGCAGGCTTAGCTTTCATATACATCCGTGTCCAATTGTACGATGACCTTCGACGGAAGCATCGCTTTGTCGAAGGAGAGCTCAGCGGGAGGGATGAACGCCGCCGTGAGGAAGAGCTCAGACAAGCGTTTGAGCCACCGCAAAACGAGTTCCGGTCGAGGGCGGAGTTCCTCGACCTGCAGCAGGGCAAGCATGATGTCCATGCTTACGCTCAGGAGCACGGTACTTGGTCTCGAACATCGTGACCAATCCGATCGACGAGGCGACCAAGGTCGTCACGTTCATGAAGGGGCTGAGAGATGGGCCTGTGAAGACCTATCTCTTCCGTGAGTACCCGAGTACTCTCGAAGCAGCAATTACTCTTGCAATGCAGGAGGAGTTTAGCCTGCGGCAGGCTAAGCTGCATGCACATGTTCCGAGGCCACAGCCACGCCCGGTAGTGCGGACGGGAGGCCCAGAACCCATGGACCTCTCGAGTGCTGCAACTGCCGGACCCCAGCAGTTGCAGGGAAACAATGTGCGATGCTACCGATGCGGTAGAATCGGTCACTTTGCTCGGGAGTGCACGGCCCCCGTGCACCAGCAGGGTGGCTATCGCGACGGTGCCGGGCACCGTCGCAACCAAACAAAAAACGCTGGACGCCAGTAGGAGCGGGACGCCCTACTGGTAATGCAGTTCCGCGTGTCGACCTTGGACACGCGACACTGAGGACTGCAGCCCCCAGTGAGGTTCATTCTCACTGCAAGAACCAAGATGACAAGCCTGACCTTGTCATCCTGAATGTGAACTCGATGAGAGCAAGCGGCTCTCTCCGTGCTTTGGTAGATTCTGGCGCGTCGAAGAACTTTGTTCGACTGCGAAGTCTATCAAGGCTTGACTTCGAGGAGGTAAAGATACCTCGAAGTATGTTGGAAGTACGACTGGCAACGGGCGCCGTCGTGAAGACCGAGAAGCGCATGGTACGCGTGTACTTCACGTATGAAGATCAAGAGTTTGTCGAGACCTTTATCGTCCTGGATCTGGACGATAAGTTTGACATTGTATTGGGCATGCCGTGGCTTGCACGGCATGATCCGGTCATCGATTGGGAGAAGCGCACTCTCGTGCGCTTCGGTCGCGACAGCAGAACAGTGAGCGATGGCCCTGTTGCCGCTACACACGCACCAACAGGTGCGCGCGACTCCCCACTCGAGACAGCGCCTAATGCCGCTGTCCCGGAGCGCCCTGGGCGCGCGAGAGCACACGCGCAAGAGCAGTAAGCGTCGGCGTCGCCGCCGACGGCTAAAGGAGAAAATGTGTTGATCTCGGAGATCGACGCCCGCGTTTCAGCGAATCAGGTAGAGTCTCCGACCTCAAGAGGTACGGATGACGCAGGCGAGTCACACGCCTCAGCCGTGGAGGCTGACGCGATTCTGATTGGATCAGTTTTGGCCAATAATAAGAGCCAAGGTAACGAAACACCGTCGACTCCGGGAGTCGATGGCTGGGGTGAATTTGATTCGTCGGCTCGGGGAGCCGACGCATCCTCCGTAATGGGGGTCTCCGCCAATGGTTGGCGTCGAGGTGAAGACGGCGTGTCGGCTCCGGGAGCCGACGCTGCAGACGGTGCGGACGGTTGCAAACGTTCCGCACCGGAAAAACTTGCATGCTGTCGTGCAGCCGGGGGCTGCTCGACGAAGCGCCGGGCGACCAAGCCGGGCTTGAAGTCGCTCGCCCGCGGGATGAACCCGCCGGCGGTACTGAAGAAGAACACCCGTCCACGGCTGGGCCTGGACGAGGTCAAGAGTCATGCGGAGCCGGGCTCCGCAGGACAAGAAGACGGCGCATGCGAAGGTCGCTGCGCAGGTCTCGGCCTGGGGTCGAGACGCTACAAGAAATGTCTGCCGGGCAGACGGAGGCTGAGAAGCCGGACGTCGAGACGTTGAACGTCTTCACGCGTACCTGTGCCGGGTTCCGGTACAGGGAGATGACTCTCGCGAACCCTCTGACGCAAGCGTCGGAGTTGACTTCGCTTCCAGTCATGAGCTGGAAACGCTTCGCGCGTGACTTGCACGATGGACGCATCGAGGAAATATGCATTCTCTCGGACACCGAGAGAACGAAGAGCGAGAATGAAGAACTGAGGCAGTTCTTCATGGAGAGCACCACTGAGAGCGAGGACACCTCAGTGCGAAGACGAAGAAGGAGCGCTTTGAAGAGCAGAGCTGGGACTCGTTGAAAACGAGTCCCTACTACGAGATCTTACGGGAGTACGCGGACGTACTTCCGGAAGAGATTCCTGCGGAGCTTCCGCAGGACAAGGGAATCCAGCACGAGATTGATCTCGTGCCGGGGACGAAGTACTGTGTCACGCGACAGTGGCCACTGCCGCGAGAGCAGGTCAAGGCGATCGACGACTTCTTTGAGAGTCGTCGCAAAGCTGGACAAGTGCGGGAATCGAAATCCCCGCACAGTGCTCCGACGTTCTGTGTCAAGAAGCCACAGGGTGGTTGGCGCATCGTTCATGCGTACAACAAGCTGAACGATGCGACGATACCGGCGCAGACACCGATACCGCGAAAAGATGTCATCATCGATTCGATGGCCATGAGCACTATCTACAGTGCTCTTGATCTGCGCGATGGATTCTATCAGATCCTCATGCGTGAGAGCGATATCCCTCTCACGGTTGTGAGCACGCCGAGCGGCATGCTCTGGGAGTGGCTAGTGATGCCGTATGGTCTGAAGAACGCCCCTGCGACCTTCAACAGGTGCGTGACGCACTTGTTGCGCTCGGTGCGCGACTTCGCACCGAGCTACTTCGACGATGTGTTCGTCCACAGCCGAGCTGCGGACGGGATGAGCGACGTTGAGATGCACAAGGTGCATCTCCGGAAGCTGCTTGCGCTCATGCGCAAGCACAAGCTCTATGCCAACCTGAAGAAATGCATCTTAGGGGCGAGCGAGATCGGGTGTCTCGTTGGGAAGAACGGTGTCCGCCCTGACCCTGAGAAGGTCAGAGTGATCAATGAGTGGCCGACGCCGTCGAACGTCAAGGAACTGCGGCAGTTCCTTGGCTTGGCCACGTACTTGTGCAAGTACGTGAAGGACTACGCGGGCATGATACGCCCGCTATCACAGCTCCTGAAGAAGGACGTCGAGTGGATTTGGACTGCTGAGAGTCAGCAGGCCTTCGATGCAGTCAAGCGGGGCTTGACTGAGGCGCTGATCTTGGCGGATGCCGACCAAGATCGCCCATTCCACGTTGTGTGTGACGCATCCGACTTCGCAATCGGATGTGCGTTGATGCAGCACGATCACGAGGGCCTTGATCGTGTCGTCTACTACCAATCGCGTCAGCTGAAGCCAGCTGAGCGCAACTACCCGGTACATGACAAGGAGCTCCTTGCCATGAAGTACGCACTCGCGAAGTTCCGAGTGTATCTACTCGGAAGCAAACCGTTCGTGGTCTACACAGACCACGCGTCGCTGTGGACGGCTGTGAAGTCGCCGCACATCTCGCAACGGATGGCGAGATGGCTCTCATTCTACGCAGAGTATAACTTCCGGGTTAAGTACAAACCCGGAAGACTCAATGTGGTGGCCGACGCGCTCTCGCGTCGACCTGACTACGCCACGACTGATGCCGACATCAATGCCATTGACGCCATGTGATCGAGCACCCCAACGTCGTCACTGTTGGACGACGTGAAGGTCGCGTTCGCACACGACGCGGACGCGAAGCTCTTGCTGGCCTACGGCTCAGCGCCTTCTGACCAAGCTCGTCAGAAGCTGCCGAAGCATTTTCGTGCTCGTACACACCGTTACCGGGTGCACGACGGGTTATTACTCTACAGTGCAGTCGACGACAACGCGGTCCGCGTTGTCGTGCCCAATGACCATGACCTGCGACTCAGGATCATGTACGAGTATCACGATGCACCGACTGCGGGGCATCCGGGCCGTGAGAAGACATACCTTTTTCTCACGCGAGGCTTCTACTGGGCCCACCAGTACAAATGGGTGCGCAAGTACGTCCGTGTTCGCGAGGTTTGTCAACGTGTGAAGCCTGCGCCTTTCGCGCAGGCTCCCTTGCAGTCACTACCAACTCCACGAGAGTGTTGGCAGTCCATGTCTTTGGACTTCGTGTTCGGTCTTCCCCCGGACAGTCAGGGGAACACGGGCGTTGTGGTCTTTGTTGACTGCTTCAGCAAGATGGAATATCTTGCTGCGGTACCCGCTGAAGTGACTGCGAAGCAGACTGCACGTCTGTTCGTCGACATGGTGTTTAAACACCATGGCATGCCAATCGACATTGTGTCGGATCGAGACCCGCGCTTCACTGCGCACCTTTGGCAAGAAGTGTTTATACTTCTTGGGAGTCAACTTTCAATGTCGACTGCGGACCATCCGCAGACGGACGGGCAGACCGAGCGCGTGAACCGCGTGCTCGTAGACGTGCTTAAGAGCTACGCTGACTCGTTCCAACACTGGAGCGAGTGCCTGCCGATGGCGGAGTTCGCTATGAACAACTCGGTGCATGCCTCGACCGGGTATACACCCTTCTACATGAATGCCATGAGGCACCCACGCCTCCCGAGTCTACTCGGGATGGTGGCTCCTTCCATAAGTGGGGGAGGATCTCCGACAGCACCGCAGCAGCCGCAGAATGCCGCTGACACTTGCACAGTGTCAGCCGCAACGATACGAAGCAAAGCCGAGAACCGCGCGTCTGTGCAGGGCACAGACGCCGACAAGCGCACGAAGAACGTGTCTGTGCGAGGCACAGACACCAACAAGAAGAAGAAGAAGAAGAAGAAG